ACCATCAATAAGTGTGGAGCAGCCTCCAATATACTCTGTAAACAATAATATTGTTAAGAGTTTTGTGATAATTTATTTGAACAATAGAGTAATTACTAATTTATTTAAATTTACCTTCTTAGGATGAGCTGCTCAGTGGCTGTCTGCAAGGGAAGAAATGTTAGGCTGGATGGTATGTACAGGTGGTTGTGTGGATGCCTCCACACAAGAAGGGCGCCTGCGGCGCCCGCGTACCCTATCTCCTGCAGCCTCCATGAAACCTGGTAGGATAAGAAATGTTAGGCAAGTATAAATAATATTAATAGTCAATAACATTTACAAAACATATTAATCTAGACAACGAATAAAAAGTTAATGACTTATTCAAAACAATATCACATAGAATGTTAACAAATATTTAATTTAATTGACAAACTAAGCACATTTATATAAGCATAAATAATTCTTACGTTAAAATTAAAAGCTCACCTAGTATGACAAGTTGCATTGTTAGGTCCTACTGAGCCGCATGCACCGCATTTTCTATTACTTGTACATCTTCCCTTGTCTATTGTGTTTCTAAAACGATTTGTTATAGAACGTCTTCTAAATTTTGGGGGTAGGAGTGGGTGTATGCCACTTGCTGGATCATGCTGTGCCCAAGTGGTTCGATCAGGAATATTATGAAATTGACCAGTATATTTTCCTTCACCTTTATCATATCTTTCATGCACCTATCAAATATCATTGGATCATCAGTGTTCCCGGCCATGTACATCTTATGGCATAGAAACTCAATGTCACCAACACCCATTTGACGTACTACTTTTTTTAAATTTTCACGTAGGTGACGAAGACAGTGGTGATGGGCAGCATTTGGAAAAATTTCACGATAACTTCGCACTAAATCAGCGTGCATGTCAGAAATAATGCATAAATCAGGTCGGGTACTAACAACTAGAAGTAGTGTTTGCAACTGACTCAGAAACCACGCCCATGAATCAACACATTCTGATTCTACAATTACAAAGGGGAGGGGATACAATCCATTGTTTGCATCAATTCCCACAACGGTAAGTAACGTGTCTCAATATTGCGGCACGAGACTTGGATTGGTCGAACCGCCTTCTATCACCCCGTCAAAATTATGTCTCATGCACTTGAGATGTTCTTTGTTGTGACGAGTTTTAATTTTTTTTAAAAATGTTAGTTAATAGCTTAATTATGATTAAGACCATACTTAGCTTAAAATTTTGCCTGCCCCTGCCCGAACCCCCACGCGTCTTCTTCACACTAGCAGATACTTAGGCTTCGTTTGATTCGGTTTATGCTTACATAAAAAGGAGTATTAAAAAAGGAGGTTGAGAAAAAGCCGTTCAATAAAATGGAGTTTCAATAATGAGATATGTTTGAATAATATTTTTAAAAGTGTTTATTAATACTTGAAAGTTAATTTAAATTGTTTATTTAGGAGTTCTGCTTTTGAGATTTTATTATAAAAGACATAATTGCCCATAAAATTTATGTACACGTAATTTATATATATATGTTATGTTCTTTGTCGTGACGACTTGACCCGGAGCGGAACTCGGGAATGCTATGTTCGCGATTTTCTCGGTATTGCTCGGTATTTGCTAGGTATTGCTTTGCAAAAATGAGAAATACCGCTCTGTGAAGACCAATACCATGCAAATACCGAGTTGTACCGATTTTTTTTACAACTCGGTACAACTCAGTATTTGCTCGGGATTTGCTGGGTATTGCTAGGGATTTGCTCGGTATTGCTAGGTATTTGCTCGGTATTGCTAGAAAAAACTCGGTACAACTCAGTATTTGCTCGGTATTGCTCGGTATTGGTTATTGCCGAGCAAAATCGACCAATACCTAGCAATACCGAGCAATCTTAGATCCGTTCCGGGTCGGGGGTTGTCGAGGCGCGCGGTAAATAATGAAAACGCGTGGCGCGATTCTACTGACGGCCGAACGTAGAGTTGTGTACGTTCACCGGACGAAATAAAAGTTCCACAATATGGCTTCTAATTGGATATTTTTCCCTTTGGAAAATGACTCAAAAACTTTGTGATCTCTAAATTTAAAAAGCTACCAAATTAGTTAAAACGTCATAATTTTATAGCACCTTTATTTTTCTAATTTCATTTGCACGAAAAATATTTGATATGTGATTTTTGGATGTTGTTTACTTTTTTATTTTTAAATAAAATAAATAATTTTGATCAAAAATAAAATTTAATTGAAATAAAAAACATCGTTCTCATTTATGCCGGCCACTGATTACTGCCAATGCTACCAGCCACAATTAAAGCAAATATAACACTTAATTAAGTCATCAATTTTTTATTTAAATAAAAATTAAATTAAATTAAAATTTGATACAATTAAGGGAGGATAAATAATATTTTTTTTTTTCAAATCACACCCTCTTAACATAACAATTTTCTCATATTGTTTCCTAATAAGCATCATACACTATATAGAATTACCATGTCGAATTAATAAGAAATTTTAATTCAATCACAGAAAATAAATTCCCAGTTGTGTAGTCAAGAGCAATTGCAAGTAGGCGTGCAAACGAGTCGAGTCGAGCTCGAGCTAGGGGGTGTTCGAGTCGAGCTTGACAACCAAAACCCGAGCTCGAGCTCGAGCTCGAACTCGAGTCAAGTTCAAAATCCGAGCTCGAGCTCGACTCGTCGTCAAATCGAGCGGCTCGTCGAGCACGCTATCAAGCCCGTCGTCGCGCTGGTGATGAGCGATCCGTCGTCTCGAGACCTCAGTTCCAACTTCATCCGCGGTTCCGCCCACCATCGTCGCGCCCTCCGTCGTCGCACCCGTCCATCGCGCCCGTCCGCCATCAGCTCGTTGGTGGAGCTCATCCAACATGTTCCAGAGCTCCGTCGTCCCGAGATCGTCGAGCAATGGATGTCATCGTCCCGAGATTGTCGAGCAATGGATGTTGTCGTCCTGAGATCTTCGAGCAATGGGTGTCATCGTCCCGAGATCCGACGACCAATGGATGAGCTATGCCGTCAAGATCGAGATCAGTCGCATCCGGCCTTTGTCCCGAGCTCGTCTGCCGTTGAGAAACGAGATCCGCTTGTGCCTCTGTTTTGGATTTTCAGCTCGCGAGATTTGGATTTCCCGCCCACGAGCTGCTCGTCGAGCCGACGAGTCGAGTCCGACGTATGGGCTCAAACTCGTGTTCGAGCTCGACTCGCAAGCTCAATAAGCTCGACTCGTCGAGCCTGTTACCGAGCCGAGTCCGAGCCGGCTCGCGAGTCGGCTTGACTCGGTTGCACCCCTAATTGCAAGCCAGTAACAAATAAGCAGATGAAATTATTTAAGGAAAAAATTTGCGATCTAAAAAATTAAGAACTTATGCATTTGAATCTGATTTAAAGATTCCCAGAAGATGAGCGTCTTCCATTTGCGTTATTTTCTCTATGCTATCAACGTTGCCAGGATCTGTCCAATGACTGCTGTCAGAAATGTGTTGTGCGCAGCAATTAATAAGTTTTTTTTCCCTTTTGGGCGCTCTAGGGTTTTTTCCTTCCCTCGCCGCCTCCTGCTTCTGATCTTCTTCTTCCTACTTCCTCCTCCGGCCTGGCCGGAGGGGCTTCTCTTTTTTCCGTCATGGCCTCTTCTTCCACCCACTCGGATTTTCCACCTCTCTGTCAGCATATTGGTAGCTTTGTCAGCTCTCATCCCAAAGATTGGAGCCAAGTTTTTGCGCCGGATGTTTCTGTGCAGAATGCCTTCTCTTTCTCACATCACCCCTTGGAGCCTGAGGTGATTCCCTTCTCTGATGAATCTTTGAGCAAAGGGGGTCAAGAGTGGAGTTTATGCTTGGTGGGTTACTCCGTTGGACGTAGGCCATTTTATGAAGCTTTATCAGCTACCATTAAGAAGACTTGGACCTTGTCTGGCTCGGTTCAGCTTCTGTCTTTAAACGACGGTTTCTTCCTCTTTCGCTTTTCTTGCAGAGAGGATTTCGATACTGTTTGGTCAAGAGGTGTATGGTTTTTACTTGGGAAACCATTTGTTTTTCAAAAATGGCATCCGCAGTTTGTCCCGAAGAGGGAAGATTTCTCCTCTGTTCCGATATGGGTGAAAATCCATGACTTACCCCTTGCATGCTGGAACTCGGAGGGTATATCGCGCATTGCTAGCAAGATTGGCATCCCGGTGGCGGCTGACAAGCTCACTGAGTTGAAGACCAGACTCACTTATGCAAGGGTTTGTGTTCTGGTTGATAATCAAGCTAAGTATCCGGAGGAGATTCATGTGTCTCTAGCTGGTACGGAGGTTTCGTTAAAAGTTCAATACGAATGGCGCCCCTATCCTTGCGAGTTCTGTAAGTCTTTAATGCATTTATCAGCTTCCTGTTTGAAAAAACCTAAAGTTGATGAGGTTGATTTGCAAAAAAATAAGCAAGATTTCAGAGGTAGAAGTACCAGTAGGCAACCTCGTTTTAGACCCAAATCAAAACCGCCTGTTTCTGCCCCTATCGCTTCTCCTGAATTGGAAAATTTAGCTTTGATCTCTAAACCTGTTGTGATTGTCACGAATGATTTAGGACAACAATTACACTATCAACCTCACTCCCCAATTCTCAACAAATCCCCTTCCAAATCTTCTAGCCCAGACAAGGTTAGTAACTCTCATGTCTCGGATAAAGAATTGGGATCGGGTATTCCTAACCTAAACTCTCCTCATGAGGTTTCTTCTTCTACCTCATCCTCTCAGAACTCTCTCACTACTGTGATTCCCAATTTGATTAATTCTCCTAATAGTTTTGATGTTTTAAAAACTGAGGAGGATCCTAATCAACTTGTCGAAGATATTGATGACAGAGATGAAGAGCTGGTTTCGTCTATCAAGAATATCTCTAAGAACCAGGGAAAATTAAAGCAACCTTTTATTGAGGTTCCGAGCAAAAAATCTGCAAGGGGGAAGCAGTCCAAAAAACCCCAATCTTCTAAAAAGCATTAATGTCTCTTCCACCCATGGCGGCGTGGAACATCAGGGGATTCAACCACCCTGATAAGGTATTTGCCTGTAAGCGTCTGATTCAATCTCACAAGCTCGACTTGATTTGTATTTTAGAGAATCGTATCAATATTCTCTCTTTCCAAGATCCTTTCTTCGAGATTTCTCATTCTCTCTTCCCTAATGAAGCTAGCTGTAATAATTTTGCCCTTAATTCTTCGGGCCGCATTTGGATTAAATGGAATGCCTCTAAAATCTGTTTCAAGCCTACGCAGATTTCACCTCAGATCATCTCTGGTTTTATCCTAGTGGCTAATCAACCAATTCTTCATCTCTCGGCCATTTATGCCTCAAATAATCAGTTGGAGCGTAAGGAACTCTGGGAAGCTATTGCTGATATTCATGCTTCCATCAATCTTCCGTGGGCTCTTATGGGAGATTATAATTGCTGTAGATTTGCATCAGATAAATTGGGTGGTATTCCTATCTCCATGTCCTCTCTAGCTGATTTCAATACTATGATCTTCAACAATGGCCTGAAGGATCTTACTTCTGTTGGTCTCAACTACTCTTGGTTCAATCAGCGCTCTGATAATCCAATTCACATCAAATTGGACCATGTTCTCGTTAATGATCTGTGGTTGGAATCTTTTGCTGGCTCTTATTGCTCCTTCCAAAACCCATCTTGCTCGGATCATACACCTATTTTATTACACTCTGGTATGATTTCTCATGTTAATCATAGATTTCTCTTCAAAAACTACTGGACAAAAATAGACAAATTCTGGTCTCTCCTGGATGTTTTTTAAACCTTCTGTAGGGAATCCTCTTTCCCACTTTAGCAATTCTTTGAAATTGTTTAAAGAGTGCATCAAAAAGGAGGGTTGGTCTTCTTCAAACTGTGTTAAAAAGCATCTTGATGCTTTGCTGGGCAAGCAGAAGTCTTTGTTGGAGCTGCTGCAAATGGACCATAACAATAGGGAGATTAATCTCTCTTACAAAGCTATTAATTCTGAAGTTGCCAACTTTTTGGGCCAGCTGGGGGAGGTGTATTGGACCTAGGGCCACCTAAAGGAGGTGCTGGTCAGGTTCAATTTAAAAGTTCGTTAGGGATGTTAAGCCCTAAAAATCTCAAATTTTTTTTTGCCAAAGGGAGGAGTGGGGGGGGGGGGGGGGGAATAATTCGGTGATGAATCTTCTCTCTTCCCCCAATCATTCCTCTAGATCTGAGGTCATCAAACTTATATTGGACTACTTTCAAAATCTGTACAACCCTATTCCCCCTGTTGGTTTGCGGCTGGATCTTATTCCTACTGGGAATACTGTTTCTGATGACTTTGCATTTGCTTGCATTCAACCTGTGCTTGATGATGAAATCAAAAAAGTGGTTTTTAAGGGTGCCTCTAATTCTGCTCCTGGTCCAGATGGGTTTAACTTTTATTTTTATAAAAAGACTTGGCATATAGTAGGTCCGGCTGTTTGCAAATCCATTAGAGCTTTCTTTGTGAAATGCTATATGCCAATTGGGATTAAAGCTACTGCTCTGGTTATCATCCCTAAACATAAGAATGCAACTTCTATTTCTGATCATAGGCCTATTTCTCTATGTAATACTCTTTACAAAATCATTGCCAAGGTTATTGCTGAAAGACTCAAGCCTGTTCTGAAAAGGATTGTTATGGATACTCAAGCTGGATTTGTGGAATCCAGGGTGTCTACTGACAATATTTTATTGGCTAGTGATATTTTGGCCTTTGCGGGTAGGAGCAGAGATAGTAAGTACTTTTGTGCTAAACTGGACATTAAAAAAGCTTTTGATACCGTGTCTAGAGAATTCCTTCTTGCTAGGCTCTCTCAAAAAGGTTTTCCTCCTCTTTTTGTGAATTGGATTAAAGCCTCTATCTCTAATGTCAATTTCTCTGTGGTTCTTAATGGTGCACTTGAAGGTTTCTTTACCTCTTCGGCCGGTATTAGGCAAGGTTGCCCTCTTAGCCCTTACTTGTTCTGTATTGTCATGGATGCTTTATCTAACCTCCTTGTGGGAAGGGGGTTCAAAGGGATTTCTTTTGATGGTTTTTCTATCTCTCATTTGCTTTATGCTGATGATGTGCTGATTTTTGGTGAAGCCTCTATTGATAATTGCAATTTATTATCTGAGATTCTTAGGGATTTTGGCAAGGCCTCTGGCCTTCTCATTAATCATGAGAAGTGCTCTATCATGTTTCCTAAGCATGTTAATAACCCCTTGGATTTTTGCAGAGCTTTGTCTATTCATAATATGGTCTCTAAAATTACTTATTTAGGTGTCCCCTTGTCCTTCTATAGGCTGAAGGTGGTTGATTTTTTGCCTCTTATGGATGGGGTTAACAAAAAAATGAATGGTTGGAAAGCTAATCTCCTTTCATTTGCTGGTAGACTTCAGTACATCAAGTTTGCCATTCAGAACACCATTGCTTACTGGATTAGAGGATCTATTTTGCCGAAATCGGTTTACAAGTTTGTCAAAAAAGCTAGTTCGAGATTTCTTTTCTATGGTGACTCTCAGATTTCTAACAAGATACACATGGTATCTTGGGACAGGATTTGTAAACCCAAATTCAAGGGTGGCCTTGGCATCCCTTCTATTCCTGCTCTACAATTTGCTTATAATTGCTCCACCATTTTTAGGATGTACAACCTCTCCTCTCCTTTATCTGCTTGGTTGTTTCATCGTTACATATCCCCTTGGAAGCCTCCAAACTGTTCCTTCTAAATTCTGGCTCTCCATTTGTGAAACTGCTGCTGTTATAAAATCTTGCTGTCACTTTAGAATTTCTCAATCTGCTCCTATCTCTCTTAGATGGGACCATTGGTGCAATTCTGAGACTGTGACTGAATCTTTAGGGACTTTTTCTGCTGTTGATATCCCGGACCTGCACCTTAAGGATCTTACTCTTTCGGGTTCTTGGGCTTTCCCGGAGGGTTTTCACTGGAAATTGAAGGATATTTGTGGGGCTTTTGAGATTCTATCTGATGATAGACCTTGTCTCTTATGGAAAAAAAAGTTTCAATTTCAAGCATAGTTTCTTTATTGATGAGTACTATTCGAATTCCCCCAACTGCTATTGGCACAAGCTTATATGGCCTAAGAATTGTATCATCAAACATTCAGTTTTTGTGTGGCTTGCCATTATGGGTGGCTTAAAAACAGCGGATGCATTAAAAATTAGACACATTGTGGTTCCTGATATGTGCAGTTTTTGTTTTCTTCACAAAGAGACAACCAATCACCTGTTTTTTGAATGCCAATACTCTTTTGATATTATCACCTCTCTCATCCCAGGCATTTTTAGCTTTCTTTTTAGACCCAATATTCTTCAAGTTCTGGATTGGGTGAATACTGAGTACAAAGGCAAATCTGATTTTAAACACTTTTTTAAAGTGGTAACCTCATGTGCCCTCTATCATATCTGGAAAGAGAGAAATTCTAGGAGGTTTGGCAACTCCTCTCTCTGTCATACCTCTTTACTTCATGTGATTAAGAGAAATATTTTTGACAAAGTTTTGGGATGGAAAAACTCATGGCATTTATTGGAAAATCTGTAATGTTCTTTCTCACTGGTAGGCACTTGTTTGATCCTGGTATGGAGGTAATTTTTGATAGGCAGCTGGTTACTATTATGTTGTACTGGGATGCTTTGGTGAACTGGAGGCTTTCTATGGACTTTTTTGTTATGGGGAACTGTTGCTGGACATGTTATGTGCATTTCTTAAGTTGGAGAAGTTTTATTCTTAGAGCTTATATGACGAGAAAGAGAATAACCTGGACAATGATGAAGCTCCAAACTATTGCCTCAATTTTCAATCCCCCTTGGATGGCCTATGGGCAACCGGGGGTCGTGCCTCTTTGTCAATATCAGAGTCCTGGTTATTATATCATGGAGCTTGTTCTGGGTATGCTGGAAACCTTTTTGCTATTCTCTGCTTCTTTTGTTTGTCTTTCCAGGTGCTCTTGCTTCTATCGGGAGTCTGGGAAGCCCTCCGCTGCTGTCTGCTTGACTGGTTGGATCGCCAGAGATTCTTTTTCATATTTTCATGCTTTTATGCTTTTTCTGGGTATAGGATTAGTCCTTTTTACATGTATTTTTGCCTATACGGGGTGATATAGTTGAGGTTTTTTTCTTCATTTTTACCTGCATTAGTTTTTGTTTTTGCTAATGTAGGTATCTGCTCTTGTATTCCCCTTTACATGTAATATTTTTGATCTAATATAGATGGGCCTCGGCCCCAATTTTACCCAAAAAAAAAAAAAACAGTTAATAAGTTGAATAAGCAGAAGCTACATCAAATAGATTGTCTTGTCGTATCAAAAATTCAAAGAGGTTCAAGCTTCATTTGGGATGACTTTTTTATTATTTTTAAAGTTATTTTTTTAATAAAAAATTAAAGCTTTTATATTAAAAAACTACTTTAAGAAGCAATAAGAAGACCGTCCCAAACGAAACCTCAATTTTCAATCTAAAACAGTTTTCATAATTGAAGTAGGTGTCTTTCAATTATTAAATAAAAGAAAATATTTTCAATAGAATTGAAATATTTTTATTGGTGCAATTTATTAAAATCAAAATGCATTTTATCATATATTTTAATTTCAAAATTCTATTTTTCAAATTTATAGAAAATACAATTAATTATAAAGTCACTTTTAATGCATGTTTACGCTGTTCATGCAAAACTTTTAATTTTAGAAATAATTTTAACTTATTTGAGATACTATACAATTTGTTTAATAAAAAAGCTAAATAATTTTAGATAAATCTTAGATTATTCCGGAGGGATGCGTCTTTTTCGACTATATTTAAGAAAATTATTTATTTATTTAATATTTTAAATTTTCTTCTTTTGGTGCTATGAAAAATATTTAATAATTCTCAAATATGACTTAAATATTTGAGAATATATTTTGATTAAATTAAAGACATGAAGTACATTAACCAACTCAATTTAACCTTGGGTTGGCTAATTTCCTTAATTTCTCCAATTAAGGCTTAATTTCCTTAACTATTCACTTAATTAAGAATTAGGATTCGACTTTTGAATTTAAGTTTGACATACCCTATATTTGACTTGTAAATATATATTAAGACCATTCCCCAAAAATTCTCAGTCTAGGAATCTGTGTTTTATATTTCTTAATTTAAGATCACTAGTCTTATTATGGAAGAAGTAATCCTTAGTTTCTAACAAAGCATCTCACAATTAGGCTGGGTTGGCTAGGTGCACAACTAAGTAATTTCAAGCTTGAAACCCTAAGATGATGGATCCATGAACTCTTGATCAGATTGTTTCAACATTCTTATGGATATTTTATCACTATTTGTCACCCCTTCAGAGGCTTTCTCGCTACTTTAGACTTTTTTGGTGATTCAATGATTGTTATCGCGTAAGTTTTATGTGTTGATTATAGTCATTCACCCTTTGCCCTATAAACTAACTTGTCTCAAAGCATAAACTATTTGATTTGGATAACAATCATTGAATCATTGTGTATCATGATATTAACCCAATCAAATCAAAACACGGGCATGCTTTCCCTATTGAGAGTGTCTCATTGAGTTTTATTTGAGTATAATTAAACTTATGTAATTTGTTTTATTTTGAGAGACTAATCAACCCCAATTATCTACTAAAATTAAACTTAGTTTTAATGAATGACTTCTCATGATTATTTTATAGGAATTGAGATTATATTTATTGGTCGTATCTCACTAGATCTCTCCCCCGATCTTTTTTTGTGAAAAATCTTTTGTGAAATAATACTCTCATATCATCATCTTTTCCTCTTCAATAAAGAAAATTGGCAACTCCGATGGCGAAAAATCTCTTTCCATACTCGAGATTGTACAAAACTTAAAGCTTTTTATTTTAAGCATAGATTTTTTTAATCTTAACTTTTAATTTTTAGTTAGTTGATCAATTAATAATGCATGATATAATTAATAACTTCGCTTCTTTTGATCATACTTCTTGTTGCATTTAAGTTCACATAATCACTTGTGGGTTAATTGATGGCTTATGTGTTT